AACCAGTTCTGTCCTGGGTTTCTCTTTCTAGTTCTTTCCAGTTTTCGTTCATTCTTCTCATGTCTTTCTCCATTTCTCGGCGTAATATGTTCCTTAGCCTTCCTCTTTTTAGTTGACATTGAGTGTCTTCCATGTGAGTGCTTGTCTTATGACGCAGTTGAGTGCTTTTCGCAGTGTGTGTATAAGTGGCACTATACACCTCCAAATTATTGTGAACTCTGTTTTATACATTCGGTTGTTAGTACTTATTAGCATGATGATTTTTATGTCACACATAGTGAAATGTCATAACTATTTATTAAACTATGAATTTTAGTTTAATCTTTCATCCGTTTATCAATTGTCGGTTAGTCAGTTACAATGTAGAACTTCGTACATAAGTACATAAGTTCAGGTTGTCTTACCGCACTAGCACAGAGACGCAACTATCAGCTCAAATTCCACAGTGGTAGAGATAGTGGGAGTATTCACAGTAATCGGAGAGTTTAGGGTTCGAAAATATGACTGGCGAAGTACAATCTTGTAAAATCAACTTAAAAGGAGAAAGATAGAGGTTATGAGGAGTTCAAAAGATTAGGATTCGAGAGGACGCAAAGAACGGATGCACCCGCACCATCGCAAACGGTTTTGAGTCAAGTCTATGTAGGTCTCTAACCATCGATTACTATCCTTTCCCGGACCCCAACCAAGTAGTCTACATCTACTAACATGCCTTAGTCCAGCTATCACTGACTTCATTGATTTGTGCCTGTTTATCAATTGAACTGAAACTAAAGATAAAATAATTATTGAATTAACAGAAAGTTCATATTTTTCATCTCTTGATAGAAAAGTAATTTTATTATAAACTCATATGATCATCAAAACTATTTTCAGTGATATTTTAGTTAGTAATCGTAAATCGCTTTTGTTGTGACACCTTAGATGATGTGTGATTTCTTAAAGTTTGTTCCAGTGATGTTAAATCTTACATAGATATATATTTTTTCTCACGTTTCTAATTCATTTAGATTTTGTTTGTTTTACCGTTTCATATTTCACATGTTTGATAATTGAACATTTGAATTGATCAAATAATGATTTGATCTTTCTTCTAAAAGTTTCTCGAAAGTTTCAAACTTGGAGACAAAAAAGGAGGTGTTTTTCTTCCTCATGATTAATTTTTAGTATAGAAACAATAAGTGAGTGACGAAGAAATAAGATCCCACTAGAATCTGTATTGGAACACTGATTACATTGATGTATTAAAGTTGTTTCTAAGACACGCTCAAGCCTTCCGAACTATTTCTCTCATTCATATATTTCGTTCGACTCTTCCTTCTATTCATTTCCTTTAAGCTCTCTGTCATCATCCTCCTATTGGGTTGCATCGGCACCTGAACTAGTGATAGGAAGTGAAGTAGTTGGGCGTGTTGACCGCTTCACGTATCTGGGGAGTCTGATCAGTGCTGATAACCTGGGGACTGACGAAATCTCATCTCGGATACAGAAGGCTCGATTGGCTTTTGCCAACCTGCGTCACTTATGGCGTAGGCGAGATATCCGTTTGCTGACTAAAGGACGAGTGTACTGTGTGCAGTAGTTCGCTCCGTCTTACTTTATGGCTGTGAAACATAGCCAGTGAGAGTAGAAGATATTCGTAGGTAACTGGTTTTTTGATCATAGGTGTCTCCGAAACGTTGCTCGTGTGTATCATCAACTCATATTGTTAGCTTTGAAACACCTACCTTTATATATGTGTGAATGAATAGTAACACAAACTCAAAAAATTCTTTGAACAAACAGAAATTTCTTTAAAAGTTTATAAGCTACTATTAATGTAGATTGTAATATCACCACAATGTGAAGTCTTATTAGGTTGATTAAGATAACTGACTGAATTGATAATTCAGGCATTGATTATTTGTTTTAAACAATGCCAATGATTCGCTCTCTTGTTTCTTTTCTCTTCACATCTTTCTCTTTTGACGACACAGGCTAGTCAGTTTGAATTTGAATTTGGATTGTTTTATGCATGGAGTTTATGCGTGTTCTCTGTGATCTGTGCATATAGTATTTTATGTCCATTGATTACACCATTTGGTAAGTGGTTTTGTATTTCCTATAATCTATATTATACACATACCATAATGAACAGATATATTGTTATTGTATTATGTAACATAGTTTTATGTTCGACAATAATTTTAGTCGTCGTCGGTTGCAACGTAGAACTTCGTACGTATGTACATAAGTTCATGTTGCCATACCACAGCACAGAGACGAAAATGTCAAATCAAATCGCATAGTGATAAAGATAGTAGAGGTATTAATGTTAATAAAGAAGACTAGGGTTTGAAGATATTATTCAAGAAGTATAATTCAGCGAGATAAGTTTAGAAAGAAAAAGGTAGAGGTGCTGGCTAATCCAGAAGATTAGGATTTGAGAGAGCTCTAAGAGTGGATGCACCTGCGCCATTGCAAACAATCTTGAGCCATGTCGTTCAAGGTCTCTAACCATTGATGACTTTCGAAAATTTTAGTCAATATGAATGTAATGCGGTTGTGGAGATTGTTGAGTTACTTTAAAAGCATGAATAGATCATTGGAAACTTTGAAGCACTGGGCAGCCGTTTCTTCATGGTATGGGGCTTAAAAGCAGTGCACATGCACGACTCCCATTACTCGCAGGGTTCGAACCCAGGGCCTGCTCAATGATCTGGAGGTTAAGCGTTCGCGCGCAAGATCGAAGGCCCTTAGTTCGAATCTTGCGAGTAGCAGAGTCGTGGGTGCGCACTGCTGATGAGTCTCATGCCAGGACGAAACGTTCTTCCAGTGCTTCCAGGTTTCTAATGGTGGTCTAACATTTACCCATTCATAATTTGAAAATATGATTATTAGTGGTTATTTTAGTCTGTAACAATATATCACGTAATTGTCTTATCAAAATTATTGTTTACTTATATTATTTGTAAAACAACGTTGTCAAATATATTGCATTTGTTAAAATTGATATCACAGCTTAGTGTGGTATTTTTTTTAACTTGTATACATGTGATAGATGCATAGACGCACTAATCTGACTTCTAATTTTATAGTCGTGCTCAAATTAGTGTGAGTATAAAACAAGGATTTTACAATTTTCAACTGCTAACAGTCACAATGAACACACTGTGTATGTCTTCACGAATTTACTGACGTTCAGAATCTATCTGAAAAATGCAACACCTTTTCCAATCATGAAACATTAACTTCGATAACTCAAAAATGTTACTCTCATATTATGTTTTATTCCTTCACTGTTGTGCATTAAAGTTGTTAAATGGCACTATGGAATAGAAGATTGGCTCTTTAGTTTATTTCACGGTTGTATTCTTCATAAAGAGTACTTTCCCTCTTCTAACAAAATAAAAATTTATCTGTCGTGCTCGGTGAATTACCGAAGAGCTAACGATACAACAGTTATCGCCGACAGGGTTAGTTGAAATTACAGACTACTGTATTTGAGCTCGATGATTTGAAAATGATATGCTCTATATCAGGTTTCTAGATCTCATATTCAACTAACAACGAATTCTAGTTTCTCACTATTATAACGAAACGGCTGTTCAGTAATCTCAAGTTTTGCGTAATTTTCTAATGAGTAGAATTCTTGTTCGATAACTTATAATTCATCCTCTCAAATGAACATCTGAGTTAAGCGGTTGAATAGTTTTCTGACGACAACTCTATCCAGGAAGCTATGAAAAGTTAAAATTCCATCAATAGCTGTATATTATCCTTTTGAGCCACTAAATGATGAATCGATCAACGATAGACCACCATTAGAAACCTGGTGGCACTGTACAGCCGTTTCATCCTATTATCGGACTAATCAATAGTAAGCATCTACGACACCAGCAAGCGGGACCTTCGGTCTCATTTACTACATGCTACCAACTATTGATAGTTGCTGTTGTTGTTTAAGCGTTTGCCTACTCTGTTACTCGTAGAAGCCCATCTTGGCTTTTGACTGTTTGATATGACGCTTCTTTAGAATGATACAACACTGTCACTTTAACTGGTCCCCTATGTTATGTACGTAACAAAATCGTTTTGTTTCATTGCATAAGACTCATCATCTGTGCTAATGTAATATGACAATTTGAACTGATTTAGGTACGTGCGTACGAAGTTGTACGTTGTAACTGACTGATTGACTGACTGACATTATATGTTTATTTTCATTTCCATTCATCTTGATAAGTAATCGATATTTCCTTGAGTATTTGACACAAGTATAACACAACTGAATTCAAACAGTGATAAACTTTCAAACTCATTCAACATAGTTTGACTTAGTCAGTCAGATGCAACGTAGAACTTCGTACGTAAGTACATCAGTTCAGATTGCCATACCACTTCAGCACAGAGATGCAACTGTCAATTCAAATCCAATAGTAGAAGAGGTAGTAAAGGTATTAGAAGTAATCGAAGAGGTAAGGATTAGAAGATATTATTCAAGAAGTATGATTCAGTGAGAAAAGTTTAGAAAGTCAAAACTAGAGGGGTTGAAGAATCCAGAAGATTAGGATTTAAGAGAACACAAAGAATAAATGCACCAGAGCCATTGCAAACGGTTTTGAGCCATGTCATTCAAGGTCTCTAACCATCGATTATTATCATCTCTCAGACCCCAACCAGGTAGTCTACACCTACCGACATGACTCAGTCCACTTGTCAATGACTTCATGGATTTGTGCCATGTTTTGGTCTGGCCGCCTCTAGCTTTCGTCCAAGCTAATCCTACACTACAAAACAAAGCTCGTCGAGTTTGACTGCTGTTGATAAAAGTAGAAATGCTTATAGTAGTGCAGTGTATAGAGAATAAAATTCTTCTGATGTGAATTTGAAATTGAGTGAATTATCTATATATATACATGTATGTATTTATTATAAGATAAACTTTCTGTTAATCTTTTTCCAACCGTTCATTGAATTTAATCGGTCATTTTTTTTCTCTTTTCATTATTGATTTTTAGGTCTAATCTATCTGATATTGAAATATTTCGTTGAACGTTATAATCTCTATTATGCTTATTTACCTAGTCGTATTGATGCACATATTCATTGGCTTGCAGTTAGTTGTATGTTAGCTTCAGTGTTTCTATTACAATTAAATATATTTATGTTCATTGTTTTACGTGCTAATACAGTTAGTCATGCTTTAGTGATTTGTTCCTTATTGGGTTTAATATTCTCGGCAATATTAATGATATTCACTATTATTACTGGTTGGATTATGGCTGGTAGTAGTTCAGCACGTAAACTTCTACTTAAAAATGCTCATATCTTGTCAGTGCATGATGAAGACACATTTGTTGATCAACATGATCGATATGATAGTTTAAAAAGTGTTCAACGTGGAGGATCACATTTGAATGATATAACTTATACAGTAAGTGTGTGTTTAAATGTTGAAATTTATTAAATTTTTAATTGGGAAATAAGAAAAATTTTTAAAAAATAGATTTAATTGATTGAAAAACCGATCTAAGTTAGATAATCATTGAAAACTTGAGTGAACTGAACAGATGTTTCTTCTCCCTAGCATCCAAGACTTTTGGTTTTGTACGTGAACGTTCACTGAACCGTCATCCAGTTGTGTACAAGTTTTTGATGAGTACCTATCTTATACTGAACATGGTTGGACTCCACTGATTACTGCTCCTTACTAGAATTTTGGAAATTTCCTTTTAAAGGTAATCACTTCCAAAGACAATAGAAAATGTTCACGCGATATCGTAAATTAATTAATGTTAGATTTGTATATCATTGGATCCTGGAGGTTAAGCATTCGCGTGTAAGATCAAAACTCTTGAGTCCAATCCACGGTTGTAAGGTCATGGGTGCACATTGGTAATTAGTCCAATAATAGGGTAAAACGGCCGTCTGATGTTTCTGGGTTGCCAATGGTTGTTTAGCTCAAATCGGTTCATGATTTCAGCAATATTCAAGTGTGTTCCGACAATATCTGTTATGTAATCATTAAGTTTAAATAATTGTTTAACAAAACCGACTCAGTCAGTCAATTACAACGTAGAACTTCGTACGTAAGTACATCAGTTCAAGTTGCCATACTACATTAGCCAAGAGACTCAATTGTCACTTCAAATCCCATAGTAGTAGAGATAGTAAAATTATTAGCAGTAATCGGAGAGATTAGGGTTCGACGATATTATTCAAAGAGTAGAATCTAGTGAAGTAAACTTTTTAAAAAGGAAGATGGTGGTGTTGAGGAATTCTGAAGGTTAAGATTTTAGAGGAGACAAAGAATGAATGCACCTGTGCTATTGCAGACGGTTTTGAGTTCATGTCATTCAAGGTCCTTAACAATCGATTACTATCATCTCGCGGGACCGGACCAGGTAGTCGACTCCTACCAACATGGCTCAGTCCACTTGTCAGTGACTTCATGAACTTGTACGATGTTTTGGTTTGTCCGCCCCTCCTCAATTGATGAAGTTTAAATACTTCAATATTGACCTTCCATCCTTACCTAGGACCCGTTTCCTAACAAAAGCATCGCTTACTAGGTTGTCCCGGGATACACGAGCAATGCTTCAACAACATCTATAATCGAGTACTATTAAACTACGAATATCTTCTAATCTCAATGGCCATGCTTCACGGCCATAAAGTAGGACAGATCAAACTACTGAGCAGTACACTCGTCCTTTATTCAACAAACGGATATCTCGCCTGAGCTATAAATGATATAAGCTAACTGAGCCTTCTGTATCCGAGCTGAGATTTCGTCAGTCATTAGGCTATCATCACTGATGCGACTACCGAGATAAGTGAAGCGTTCAACACGCTCGAATATTTCACCTCCTGTTACTAGTTTAGGTGCCGATGCAAGCCAATCCTGAAGCATACCGAACATGCTTGCATTGAAGCGTAGGGTAGTCAGGAGACACTACATTTCATCAGTATTTTCACCAAATAGAACTATATCATCGGCATATTCTAGGTCAACATGTGAATTTCCTTGTAGAAAACCTACTCCTGAAAGTTCAGACGAAGATAATGTTATATCCAGAAGCAGGTCTATGACAAATTTAAAAAGGGATGGAGATAGTGGACATCACTTGAAGTAACCAACTCCGATAAGATTTCGTAATAAGCTCCAAGTTAACCTGTTTGTCTATTTTCACTGAATTGTTCTTTTTCGAATCGACAACCATTTGTTAGTTGAATTTTTTCTTAGCTTATTTCACATTAAAAAACAATGAAACTGATATAGTTTGCTAGAGAGGTTATCTATCTATTTAAATCATTATATATTCATTGTATTATCTCAGTCAATTGACCATCCATCATCTGATGTTTTTTTTAGTGAATCTCTTCATTGAATTATAAACATTCGTTGTATAATGAGGAAAGTGTTTCTACTGTATAATTTTTTTTATTCCGTAACTCTAAATAAATCGGAAACTGTTGTCGATAATTATTTATTCACTGTGGTATTAAGCATAGTGAATAAGTAAGGCATTATAGAAAAATTCAGTGTTGATGAGCTTAGTAATATCTCCATTGACTATGGTGGTTGGATGGGGGTACTTAATCATAAGCAGCAATAGGAAAAGAGAATAGTAGGAGAAGAACTAATTTATGACTTGCATTATGGAGTTGTGGGGATTGTTAAGTTACTCTTTGAAATCATGAGTCGAACAATGTTACACCATAATTAGAAACATGGGAGCACTGGATGACCGTTTCATCTTGATATGAGGCTCATCAGTCATGTACATCCTCGTTTTTCGCGCCCTACAGGATTCGACCCAAGACCTTTGGTTTAGCGCGCATGCACATAACCACTGAACCATTGGGTCGGTATCTAACAGTGTTAATGTCTAACTTCGATCAATTCACAGTCTTGTGCAACCTTATACACTGTCTTCAGTGAGCACTGCTTCACACCCGAACAGGATGTGACAACTAATGACAACTAATTATAGATCAGAAAAAATCTTAAAATTCGCCTAATGAAAAAAATACAATAATGTATGTTTTTACTAACCATACAGTAAGAATATAAATAATAATCCTTCATACGGTAATCTCAAAGTTACACTTCAGCACTGTTCATCTTATTATAAAAGATATATGTGTTGACAGGCAATGTTAACTAGTACGGTATTAAGTTGATGCGAAGCAATGGGGACGATGGTCAAACCAACAAGGGAATGTTAGCTCATAAAGTCAAGCCTACCCCCGGTTAGGGTTTCTTTGTCAATTGGGTTAGGTAATACTGTTCATTATCACTAATAATAACGTTGATGTATTTATTCCGTATTATCGAAGTAGATCTTGTTTCCTCGCCCTCCAAACATTCTTTGCATTCTTCTCTTTCTTCAAGAGATATTCTCAATGTTTTAATATTTCTTATCATACCCGACCGTAGCTGCTAGCTTGACCTGGTGGTTGGGCTTGCCTATCGTGATGATCCAACCGAGCTATACTGGCTGGAAGGTTCTACCATGCCAGGTAGGTCGATTGGAGAACGGTGAGACTAACAGCAGCTACTCAAGGTCTGAGGGTGAAGTCGTACTGCTGACCGCAGAGGGGCGTGACAGCAGTAAGGTGTTTCCCTTGGACAACCAGCATCTGCAACGATGCTGCCTACTCATCACAAGGAAGGAAGGGGTGAGAAAAGCTAGACCCTGAAAATGTCACACTTCATCCTCCCTCATCGATTTCCGTCTGCGGCGGTAAGGGTGCCCACTAAGGGCTTTAAGAGCGGAGCTAATACTCAAAAAACCTCCCATAAAAAGGCTGTGCGTTACAACCCTGAAGCAGTTGTTTGTTGAGCTCTGCGGTCACGCTCTCAGGTCTTTAAGACCGACACTAATCTGTCTATCATAGGTCCTATCCTATTGTTTTAACTCATTCACCGTTTTATTCATCATTCTGATTTCATTTCGTCGTGGTAATGTATATTCATTGTCATACTCTACGTAGATTATGAGATCGATTTCGGTTAAATAATATACGAGTGTAGAAATAAATCATCATTATTCAGATTGGAAATCTCTGTTTTATTAATCAATTATCCGATCATGTATTTATTAATTCGATATTTACGTGATCATTAATTAGCTTTTGTGCATGAAAATCATGCATTTAAATCCGTATTGAAATGCTCAAATACAATTTGATTGTTCATTGTGTGTGTATGTGGGTGTGTGTGTTTGTTTGTGTAGTGTGATCGATCGCATTGTAGCCGCAATACTCCACACTGTTCATATTTCTTTCCCTTTATTTATTTATACCAGGAGAACGGTCAAGAATCAGAAATACCCGCTGTTCTATCTATGCGTCGAAATAACAGTGAACCAAATCAATTTTTGCAACCATTAAAACCAGATGCAATACAACGTAATGATTCAATCACTCCACTTCCTCCACGACTGTCACCCGCACCGGCACCGCCATCAGCTCTTCATCATATGCCTACTTCTTCTTCTTCTACTTCTTCTTCTTCACCACAAATGTTAACACGTGATCATATCGCACGACATTCATTCCCTGTAAGAATGAATAATAGTAAAGAACAATTTGTTGCACCAGTTCTATTAAGTTATCAACGAAGGCATAGTGTAGCACATATGAGTGCACAGTCAATGATTACTTCATTATCGGAGAATAATTTGGACAATGTTTCACAATCAGATGATACTCTGAAATAGATTGTCTACTTTCATAACAACGACAAACAACGAATAGGAAGAATTTTTTTACAAGTGTCTGCATCGCCTTTTGCCTCCTTGTAAATCAATTTGTTTCTCTTCAAAACTGATGTCGTCTCAAGACCACATATTGATTATCTCTCTCTCTCTCGCTGTCTCTCTCAGTATTTTCCTCTTTTGTTGTTGAAATAGTTTAGATTTCCAGATTTACCCTACTTATTTTTCGATTGCTACTTATTCATTTGTTATTGATTTATTATTTGTGGATATATATTTTTTTCATTTCTCTTCAGATAATTCTCTTTATTAACAAGATATTTAGTGTATTTCGACATTGGTCGCATAAAAATTGTGTTATTATTTTTGTCATCATTGAATAATGAATGGGACAACATGACAATACCATTCGATATCCACTTTTTTCTTTTACCTACTCACTCACTCACTCACTCACTCACTCACTCACTCACTCACTGACTTACTTTAAATCAGATATCCTATGATTTATCAATCTGTATTTTCTTATCACACTTTGTTGTATATTGTGATTGTGACAAATGTGATGATGAATGTGCTCTTTACCTATAAAAAAAAACAAAATTATGAAAATGCACTTGAAAACTCTCATCTCTGTATGCATTTTTTTTGACTTTCTCTTCCTACTTCTATCTCTCTCTCTCGCTCTCTCAATTTATCTCGCCTCATTCTATTCATACTTGGCGTGTAATTCGTTTACTACTACTACTACTGCTGATGTTGCTGTTGTTGTATTCTCTGTGTGTGTGTGTACAGGTATGTTTCGATGTTATTGATCGTTTGTTTGCTGACTGGTTTTTTTTTTAGGGCTACGATAATCATCACTTTGAAAGAAAGATCAGAAAACACAAAAAAAAATTATATACCAAATGATATTTTCATTTCTTTTGCACAATCTTGACAGTTTTGATTTTCTTTTTTTTTCCCTGGAAAAATTAAATAATAATCGAACGAAGAAATTTGTTTACAATTGTGTTTTGTGATTGTCAATTGGTTTTGTTTTGGATTTGATTTGTAAACATGAGCAAAATGGTAGATGTAAAAAGGATTTATAATTGGATATACCAGTTGGTTTAGGAATGAATCGATGATAATCGTCCATCAGTGTTTTTTAAGTGCTTTATATTGGAGAAAATCCAAAAGTCAATGACTTTGATTATATATCAGTCAGCGGCAACGTAGATAGTAGAGGTAGTAGTATTCGGCAATATTAGGGTTCAAAAATATTCTTCAAGAAGTATAATTCAGTGACATAAATTTGGAAAGAGAAAGATAGACTTGATGTACCTGCGCCATTGCAAACGAGGTAGTCTGCACTCACCAACATGACTGAATCCAGTTGTCACTGACTAATGCCATATTTTGGTTTGGCCGCCCCCCAGTTTTCTTCCAACCTATCCCTCCTACATCGCAAAACATAGCTCGTCGAGGCATTCGTTGTTCGGGCATACGTAGCACATGTCCCAACTTCCTCAAGATTCACTACTTCATCAACTGATTCGCCATCATTTTCCTTACAACAGCATTACTTACTTGGTTGTCCCAGAGTATATGAGCAGTGGCTGTTACAGCACACGTGATTATATCTCACATAAAACACAAACAGTAGAATTATTTTCATAATGTTTAAATGAGAGTGTGACTGACTGATTGACTGATCATTCTGCAGAGTAAAGTTGATCATGTTCAAAACAGTGAATGTACAACTCGTTGTAGTAGTATATACTTGGTCAATCACAACCAAACCGACACTTTCCCTAAAACAAAGGCCTAACTTAATGACACGTGACTTTGTAGACAACTCCGTCGAATAGTCAGTCATGTGAAATTCACTCATCTATACGGCCGTAAACAATCATTGTATTTTATCACTAATCATCGTTAGTGACAGAAACTCCATTCACAAACATTCTAGAAACTTGAAACTCTATTTGAATCGCGTTTATAAAGATTCAGAATAACAAATCAAATATAAATAAACATACCGATTTTTAATCAGCAGACGCAATAACCTTCAGATGCTTTAAATAAATTCATCAATTTTATCTAATCGATCGATGTACACTTTACTGAAGTTTTTATATTTAATCGGACACATAATACGTTTACCATGCTGTGTGTTTATAATTGTTATGAATGCCTAATTTTAATCTGAATATGACGATTTTGTTTCTTCTCTTTTTTCTGAATTTTGTTATGAATAAAATGGTTTTTTTTTAAAAAACTAATAAATATTGTTTTTAAACGAACACTATCATTAGATTGAATTGATTTTTATTGGTTAGGGTTTTTTTGTTACACCTGCACGTAAACACGTCATTTTGATATGCTTGAACTATTACGAGTTTACCTTAGTTGGAAAACGAGAGCGAGGATCCGGCGACACGACATGCTACTCAAATCCGATTATCCCAAAAGGAGACAAGACTTGATATGAAATAGAACTTGTGTTCTACAAGCATTCAGAAAGTACAAGGTCCGAATCCAGAAGAGAATAAGGACCCCGGAATAGGAATCAGGGACCAGGTCGTGGTCCTGGTCATAAACCTTACAGATAATGCGTATTTATACAGTTAGGTCGAATAGGAAACAGCATCGTGGTCTGTGACATTGACAGTTAAGACGACTAATAGGAAACAACATTTGAAGTGACATTGATAGTCAGGACAACCAATAAGAAACAACATTGGAGCACTTGACATTGATATCTAGCAGGACCATAAAATTGACCAGTAGGAATTAAGCAATAGGAACTGGCCAATAATTCTCTTAGGATATTGGATAAATATCCTAACATTTTTTTAGCGGGTTGTTGTTTTACGATATAGTGTCATACACCCCCATATCCCAACCTTGCCTCTTTTAGCCGGGCTTGAGGACGGCAGTAACACCAGGGGGGCTCCAAGCAGAGTTAGTATAATTAGTTACCTACGCATGTTACCCCGAATGAAACATAGGTCGCTGACCAGTTTTCTCCAACTTACTCTGTCCTAGGCTTTCCTTCCTAGTTCTGTACAATTTTCGTTCATTCTTTTCATGTCTGTCTCTATTTCTCAACGTAATATGTTTCTTGGCCTTCCTTTTTTCGTATGTTCTTGAGGATTCTAAGTGAAGACTTGTCTTGTGACGCGGTGGGTGCTTTCCTCACTGTTTGCCCTATCCATTTCCAACACTTTTTCCTGATTTCTTCCTCCACTGGAATTTGGTTTGTTCTTTCCTACAGTAGATTGTTGCTGATAGTGTCTAGCCAATAGATTCGAAGTATTTTGCGTAGACAACTGTTAATAAATACTTGTATGTCATGGATGATGGCTTTCGTAGTTCTCCATGTTCGTAAGATTCAGCACTCTTAATTAAATAAACGTACACATTTAGTGATATCTGTCAGAGATGTTTAAGAATTTACTAAATAACCAGTTTCATCTTTACTGATGAGTTGAAAATCTTTCATAGTTCACCTTATTCATTTAATTGGTTTACGAGATTATATTAGCCATTTTTCAAAGTCTTATCAATATCGTATGATGGAAAAGTAACTCGGTGGCTAAACAGTTTGACATTCTCAACTGATATTTGTCGCAGATTCCATACTCATTTCACATACATTGGTTTGAGTAACTGGATAGTTCGCATTCTCTTATGATCAAAATGATATTTTATAAAAATTAGCATTTTATACATTCTATAATAAACAAATCAAAAATTTAAGAGACCTTTGTTTTCATATTTGTTCACTAATTAGTTATGTAATTTTTACAAAACGATGATCTATTTTGTGTTTCAGATCAATTAATTGGTATAAATAATAGTTATTCTCTTATCAACTTTGTCATGGACTTTTCTTTCCGTTTGTTCTCAATTGCTATTCATGATTGTTGTGATGTCTGCCTACACTTCGTGATGTAATGTGTTCTTTGGTCTTGAGGGTTCTATGTTAAGATTTGTCTTGTGACGTAGTTAGAGATGATTTTTGTTTTAGTCTGTAGGTACATGTAATAGTTGTGTATTGTGACGGATGCAAAGGAATAAACATTATTGAATTTCGACAATTATCACATGTACTTGAAATCAATAAAAAACCTGAATAAAATAGTTTTTTCGTTAGACAACTTCTAAATATTACACCAAGTAGTGTTTCAAATAAACCTTATATAATTTCTGATAAATAAATAGGTTTAAGGATGACTGAATTGGTGATTAACCGTGAAATATGTAGTTCAACCATGTTGAGTGTAATGTAGTTAGTTACCTTTCGAAGATATTGAATGAGCTAGTACAATATTGTGGTTTGATTGAACATTGTTAGGTGACGGCTGAGCGTTCTCGTGAGAGACCACAGCTTCTGGTTTTGATTCCTGCTTACGAGGTCGTAGTGTGGTGTGAGCTACTTATAAGTAGTATATGACGAGAGTGTCAACGTAATGTCTGGCAGCAGAAGATGGGGGAAGATCAAGAAAGGAAGAGTTAGAAGAACACAATGGAATTTGTATGAAACTCATGAATAGTGACAATGGATTGATGTTTTGCAACAGGAACTGTCCAGTTCGATATGATGAACTGATATTTTGCAAATGAACGATTTACGATATGGTTTTCCGATTTTACTGAGTAACTCTGTAATTTTCGTTAAATACAATACGGTTGTCTTACCTGTGTTCTCGTTCACTACAGTAGTGGTTCTTCACTCAATATTTAAACGATGAATACCAACAGACATGAATTTTGAATACTCTCAGTTTCTTGATCTATTCTTAAACGATGGATGGTTGTCATTAGAATAGCAATTTTACACCAAGACTAGCATATATGAACGATTCAATCCGAAAAGTTTAGATAGTTTAAGCAACATCTCAACTAGTGCCAATCAAAATCTCCAGACAGCATCAATCCCCATAAGATTTTAGGTATGTATATCTTGCTGACGAATACTAACCCCTGCGATACTTAGATCGAACAGTGCTTTCTATTGCCTTCAACCTTCATTCACGAGATCACATGTTATTTAGACTAGTGGCCACTTTGTCAGTTGGGTCAGCATCGTAGGCCAAAAAAAGCCTAATATCCACTGTTAATCAGTGATCAGTCAACATGAACCCCGTGTTTGGTTGTTTATTCATAAAACTACCTTACCCTTCTATAGTTACTTATTATATAAAATAATTGTTTCGATCGAAGAATACAATGTGCACGTACGTTTATTATCAATAATAAATGACGTCAATAAATGAAGGCTTTTTTCAAACAAAAAAAAACATATATTACTTATAATAGTAATTAGTCAGTAGATATTTTGAAACTTATCATGAGTTCTGTCAAAAAATGCAAA